GAGTGGGAGTCAAAGCAGCAGGAACACCCCTTCCTCTCATCCTTTTACTGCAATTTAAAGTCACACGTTTGGAGTATTTGGCTCACTACTTTTGCATTTTTATTACAAATTACTTAATTTTTGTATTTGAAGTTATAAAATAGGGCCTCAATTTAATAAATGTAACAGGGCCCTCATAATGTATTAGACGGCCCTGTCCAAGAGTTTCTGACAAAGAGTTGAGAAGGTATGAAGAGGAGCAGTTCAATAGCATACCTTTCAAAATTGCATCTATGTAATTTGAGAGAGCATTCATGAACTCAAAAGCCGCTAATTCATTTTCAGAGATATACTTCATTTCTTCTGAACATTTTTAGATATATAAACTAGTTTTGAATTAAAAAAAAGACGTACTATTGATGTATCACATGCACATGCACGTGTGTGTTGATATCTCTATTTGTTATTTGTATTTTATTATGAATCAGGTTGCTATTATTATTCATTATTATGTTTTGATAAGTGGAGTCCTAATAGGACTTGTAAGATTTATTCTTTCGCCGACTAAGAGATACGAGTGTATTTAAATAGGATTTGGCAAATCAATAGAGTCATGATAAATTATTCTTTATTATTTGCATTCTATATCATGGTATCAGAGCCTTGAGATTCTTAATTCCAAATCTAGACCCCAACTCTTATTAGTTATTCTATTGTTACAAGTCACATTGAATTCACCATTTAGTACGTAGTATTTTATTTTTGAAACTAACCTCATTCATATTTTCGCTAGTTTATTTTTTCAATTTGTAAATGTTTTCTCTTAATACATTTCTCATGTTTGCTAGTTTTTTTACTCATCAATGCCGTTTTAAAGTATTCTTTTTTATTTGCATTCCATAACTTTTTTTGCTCCTAAAGTGATTGAAGTGTCCAATTAGCTCTTTAGCTCAAACCTCAGTGCCTGATATGCACCTTCTCCCCTCTTTTAAATGAAGGAGCATTCCCAGTTTTACATGTGTTCCGACATACACATATAAAACCCGAATATCTCTCTCCAATTCTTCAAACCTTCTTCACTTCGTCTACCTGAGTTCTTCCCTTCGGTACTTTAGGGGGAGGGGGGGGGGGGGGTTCTTGAAATTCTTGACCAGACAATTCCTGAAGTTCTTAACACACAGAATGAAGCTCCAAGAACTAAGGACTTCTGAATTTGAAGTCTTAAGGAAGGAAGGTCATATAAATATAGCTACTATATATGAGGAAAATGAAGCACCTTTGCTAACCGGACCTTGGGAATGCATAGATTACCACCAGTTTAGTCGAGAAACCGAAAATCTTGAAGAGATTGTATGGCATGGAAGAGCTTACTTCTGTGCTTCAGATGCCAGGGACCACCTGTCAGGGGTAGAGGGCATCCCATTCCCATCCACCCTAGTCGTCGATCGCGTAGCAACACTATCAGCAGAAAGAGGACCGCGCACAACAGTCACAGGAGAAGCCCCCGACAAAGCCACACGCGCCGCCCCGATATTCTTTATCTGGCTGCTCCTCTGCATTGTGGTTAGGGCTTTCATCATATTCTCCTCTTTATCCAAAGAAGATCGGGATTTCTTTGTTAACACACTCACAAGGTTCAGGCAAACCGTGCAACTGGCCAAAGAAAGCGTAGATGATGTGATGAGGGTTGCGGCAGGAACGTTCGAAGCAGTGAAAAATATCTCTCAGCTAATACAACGCCATAGTTTTTTGTTTAGATTTTTTTGTGGTAGAGTTCCGATTACTTGGAAAGAAAATTGTAAAAAAATTCTTTCTTTGAAAAATTGAGATTCCATTTATCTCATCCTCTCTCTCGCCAAAAAAAATTGCATTCTATATGTTAGGACTTTTTCTGGTGTCCAATCTAGTTAGATGCCTTTGTATTTGTGTAGTTGTTAGTTAAATGTGTAAATGGGACACAAGCGCCATATTAGCCCATTAGGCCTCTTGTAAGCCATAAGTTAGCCTCCTTCTCCTATAAAAGGAAGCTAACTTATGAGGAAAACTTAGCGAAGGCATAGAGCATAGAGGCAGATTAGAATATAATTGTTTCACGCTGCTCTCTCTCTCTAGAGGGAGAGCAGCGGCCCCTTTTCATACAGTCTACCAAAGTTCTCGACATTTATATTATGATTGAGAATCTATCTGCTTCTTCTTTCATTCTTATGATTGTTTGATTGTTAGAAATAGGGACAAACATGTGGTATCAGAGCCGAGGCGTGAAATAGATTGGATTCATCTGCGTTTTTCGGATCTGCAAAACTGATTTCTCGAGAAAAACCACCCATTTTGAAAAACTGATTTTTCGAGATTTTTGGTTTGGCTGGTCTGTTTTCAACGATTTTCTTTGATTTCTGGAAGATTAGGATCAAAATTTGTTTGAAAACATCCTCAAATTCTATTTCTGAAGTTTTTTTGAAAATGGATTTTTCGATGTTTTGTTGTTTTTGAAGCTTTTCGATACTCAAAGGTTTCGACGTTTTGGAGTTTCTCGATGTTTAGTATATTTCGAACTCTGGCTTCTCTCAAAACTCAGGATTTTTCGAAGCTTGATATTTTTGGCAGTTTTCGAAGCTTTAACAGCATTTTTTCGATGTTTACAACTTTTCATTGTTTAAATAAGTTTTAGAAATTCTGAAGGTTTTAAAAGGAAGTTTTCGATGTTCTGACCTTTTTGAAAAGGCAAAGTTTTTGATGTCCTAAACTGGTTCGAAACTCTGAAATTTTCGAAGTCTTAAGTTTTTCGATGTTAATCTTTGATATCATGTTTCTCGCAGATTGCAGGTCGAAAACAGGTTTCTCGCAGCTGATATTTGAAAACAGGTTTCTCGCCATTTGATGTTCGAGAACAGGTTTCTCGATATTTGAACTCGAAAACAGGTTTCTCGCATATGAACTTCGAAAACACGTTTCTCGCAGATTGAACTTCGAAAACACGTTTCTCGCAGCTTGAACTTCGAAAACATGTTTCTCGACATTCAAATATCGAAAAAGAACTTTTCGATATTCAATATCAAGAAAAAGTTTTCGATATTCAAACATCGAGAAAAAGTTTTCGATACCCATTCATCGAGAAAAGTTTTCGATATTCATTTATCGAGAAGGCGTTTTCGATATTCAAATATCGAGAAGATGTTTTCGATAGTCAACATCGAGAAGATGTTTTGGATACTCAACATTGAGAAAACGTTTTCGGTATCCAATATCGAGAAAAAGATCTCGAGATTCAACTTCGAGAACCTAACTTTCGAAAAATTTCTAAAATTTTCATTTTTCAAACTTTTTCAATGTACTACACTGTTTTGGCCATAACTTTTGACTCAGTGATCCGATTTACGCGTATAATACCTTTTCGGAAAGCTCATGAAATGATCTACATGAATTCTGGGGGTAACCCCAGAACCTTTTCTCACGGTCCCTCACTCGCCTTTGTTGAGGGAGATATCATTTGTTTTCTGAAAAATCACCAAAGTCAAAGTCAAGGTCAAAACTGAGGCAAATCTGGTCAATTCTTCCAAAATCAAACCAAAGTCAAACCAAATGTCAAAGTTGGTCTAATCTACACTGTAAGGTCCAGAACTCGTAGATAATTCAATCAACCTCGCCTCAACGGTCATTTCACAACAATCAACAATCAACTACTGATGCCTCCCCTAACTCATCAACAATGTGTGATCATCACTGTGCTGAATTTCTAGATGATGAGTTCAGGGTAAACCGTCATGTGTGGTACCTGTACAGATTGCTCCATACACATGACAGGTATATCAAGCTGTGAGCAATCAACCCTTGCACAATCTGAGGGGGAGTTTCAGGTTTCTCCTCCTGGCGCCACACAACGACAAAGCAAGGATTCTCTCAAAGGATGCAACATTTGAGGGGGAGTTTTCAATTTTATCCTCCTCGGTACCGAACGATGAAAAAGCATACCGAGTGCTTCAGTTGAGGGGGAGCACAGAGAGAAAATAAACAAAGGAATGAGAAAGAAATGAGAGAGAAGTCCTGATGGCTTAGTAAACCCAACTAAGCCTACCCAAGGGACAAAGCCGAGAGTAAGCGAGTGAGTGTGTGAGTGAGTGAATACTATGAGCGTTAGGAAGCAGAAGGCTCAAGTGAGCAAGAAAACAATAATCATTGATAAGTCTGCTACCTCAACTGCCTGCTATCAATTGAACATTTACTCTCAGTCACTCAAATACTCTGGACAATCCCCATAGGTTCAGGACTGAATTTATTCAGATGCCGGGTAGAAGTCACTGCATCTTGTCCAACAGTGCATGCATAACCCTACCCAAGACCACTCATTTGTCTCCCAACAGACAAGTGTTTAATCATATTTCACGAGGAACCTCATCTCTCATTACTGTCTCCTTTCGAGGAAAGTGATACTGACTACAGTGGCCTCAGCCCCATGTCACTGGACTTTCATTGATCACACTGTGTCTAGTTATCTCACTCCCAAATGTTTTTGAATTTTCTAGGACACAGACACACTTTTGAGTCAGTTGCAGGTCCAAGTGACCATGCGAGAACTTCCATAGGGCTCATCTACTATAGATAGACCGGTGATTGGAAGCAAGTCCTGCTGTTGCAACATAGAAATCACCAACATGTTCAGGCCATCGCTTTAAAGTTTATCTCTATAGTGATGATAACGAGCGTCTTCATGACCTCGGGGGGCTACCACTTTCATTGCTAATCTTCATGATCATGCCTTAACAACCAGAGTGACATCTACTTCAGATGCTTCATAATGATTGGTTGGAAGTCCTGTTAGAGCTTTAATGCTTCTATCATTTTATACAGGCCACACATCAGTGTTTACATTGATGTTGTGTTAACGGAACACTTCTGTGTATCCGGTCTTTATCCTTTAACTTTTCTGTTTGTTTTCAATTTTGTTACCCAGAATAAAAGAATAAAGGCATGATGCCCCGATTCATCGGATCATCATGAGGGGGAGAGTAGTCCACATGTCACGCCCCGGACCTCCCCGGACACGTCAACAACCCGCCGTACAATACGAATAGTCAACCGCAGTCCAACACATTCATATTATACAAGGCGTCTTGAATATCATTCACACACATAACATCCATAAACAAACATAATAAGTAATTCGTAACGCAGCGGAAAACATTGTTTAAAACAAAAGGGCCACACAGGGCTATTCATGAGCACGCAGGCTCTATAGTAAAATATCCATGAGCATGTTTAATATTGTTCAAAACAGAATGGAGAAAGCACGAACCACGTCTTCTCTCCAAAGGATCACCCGAGCAACGGGCACAGATAGCAAGCTCGAGCTTCAACCTGAAATGGTGGTGGGACGCCCCCGAAGGGGTCAGTACTCTATACGGCTATAAAGTACTGGTGTGGATGGCATCTAAGGGATATACAACAAGTATTTCAAACACAAGACCCTCAAATAGGGTGATAATACAATATAGTGGTAACCCTAAGTTACCCCGTTTTAAAAATATATACTTACTTTATATAAAAGTCAAGTAGTCGGCCCGTGGGCCCATGTTCATTTAGAAATCACCATTCCCATTCTCCGTGACTATGAGCCACGACAATTCATAGAGTTCATTACATTACCATTGCATAGCAAGGGCTCGGCCCAACTACATTTCTATGCAATCCTTTATGTCAAGTTCGTTATATTACATTTGCATCCTACCACATTTGCATAGCAAGGTCTCGGACCAACTACATTTCTATGCAAATCACAATTTACATCCTATCACATTTGCATAGCAAGGTCTCGGACCAACTACATTTCTATGCAAATCACAATTTACATGGCAAGGTCTCGGACCAACTACATTTCCATGCAAATCACAATTACATGGCAAGGGCACGGCCCAACTACGTTTCCATGTAATCTTAGAGTCCGGCTCTAATTCTTCATTATAGTCCAATTCCTAAGCAACTCTATGCCTAGAATTGACATCTCAATAATCTACCTTGGGTCATTCTCAATGACCGCCCATAACTTGCCCTTAGTTTCATACTAAGTCGTTTTATACACTTGAAGTACATTCAAGTTCATTCCATACAATCCAATACTTAGGATCAATTCTATCAACAATTTCAAATAATCACTAACTAGTATTTTCAATACTATTAAGATTATTGTCATTATACAAATATCTTCATTTGTAATTCTCTACATATTTATAAGTATGTAGCATCAACTTAAATATTCAACTTCAATACATAATATCCATTTATGTATCCACATATTTAATACATGAGTAAAATTCCTATTTCGCAAAATAGTTCATTTATAACTCATTTAATCTCTCCTATTATACATACATCCTCAAATCATTTCCAATTTCATTCTTTGGGAACTATATCAATATTTCATCAATATTTAATCATCATAATCCATGAAAAATTATGATTTAGGCATTTAGGTAATCTCATGCTTAACCTACAAGTTGTAAGCAATTAGATGTCGATCCTCACCTCAAATGAGCTTTAAAACCTTCCTTCTCGATCCAATGACCAAAGCCTCGGCCAAGGAAGATTGGGAACTAGTTCCTTGCTTGAAAATGGGTGCTAAACAGCCTCCTCAAGTTGCTATTTCAACCCCGAATCGTTGATACGAAAACAGCCCCTAGAACGGGTGTTTTCCGGCTAACTCGATTCCTAGTTTTCCAATATTTGCATCTAGGTTAGTATCTAACCTTTACATCAATTAAAGTCACATAATAATAACATTTTATACACTCCAATCAGTGTATAATAGTTCTTCAATCATTTATATGATTTAGGCAATAGGGAGGAAGGTTTTGGATTCAAACTTACTTTGAATACAAAAACGTTTCCTGCGAGGTTGTGTTTTGCTCAGTCAATTTGGAAGCCTTCCACTACTCCGATTGCTGCAAACCAGACCTTCACGGATTCCTCGTCTTGAGAGCTTTCTGTTGGTATCTCGTACGCCTTATTTGGATGTGTATAACTCGAGATATGAAGCAAACAAGTAACCCTTGCACCGGAGGAAAAACCTGCGGGCAGTTTGCTTTCTCCTTGCTCTTTTAGGTTGTGTGGCTCTCTTCTTCTCTCTTATCTTGGGGAGTTCGAATGGGAGCTGGGGAAGTGTTATCTTGGCCTTAACTTAGCCTCAAAAGTCAAAGGATAGGAGTGGGTTGGCATGTGGGATGATTGAGCAAGATACCTCAATCAAAAAAAAATGGGGAGAGGGTCCATTTGGTTCACAAACATGTCATGTTCAGCCTCCCCCTCCTTTTGTCCGCCCCAACCAAGGTTTTTAACTCATTCTCTTTATTTTGCAGGTGCCAAGAAGGTGTGGGGTGCTCCCCAAGTGATCCCAATCAATTTGGGGTCCAAAACATCTACCAATACTTCCAAAATTTGGAAGATGGGTCCTATTGTTTTATCTTTTGTCAAAGATGCCTTTTTGTACTCATCCTAATTTATTTAGAACAAGTCAACTTATTAAATCAAATTATTGATCTCCAATATGTGTAGGCTCATCCCAATTATTTACAAGATGGACATTGTAGAAGGAAAATCCTACTCCCATTATTTAGCTCAATAATGCCAAAGATGGGGTTATAGGCATTTGTATTCTTCTTTAATCATTCTATCACTTATTTGACATTTGTCATACATATTATTGGGCTACTAGCCGTGTGGGTCACTCCCGAGTGGGTCTAGAACGCCATTCTCGAATACTTGCTATTTTTAGCAGGTTGAGCCCAAAATATTATCTGGGCCGCCCGCCCTTCCTCGACTTGTCTTGACACGTTATGTATCACTATATAGATAATGTTGGGCTCTTTTATTTATTAATAAGTCCCGAATAAGTATTTTCAAAACCTGACACTAATGTACGAGTTTGAACAGTACAATATTCGATCATTAATTACGTAAAACATTAATCGGTTTACAAATGTTTGGGAATCAGAAATCCAATACATAAACTTCGAATATTTAAATCAAATCTTCAAGGACTTTTGGGTGCGGTGTCACAAGTTCACCCCCCCTTAACAGGAATTTCGTCCCCGAAATTCACAGCTCTACTCGAATAGGAAAGCATACTGCTTCCTCATCAAAGCCTCTGTTTCCCATGTCTCTTCTTCGACCCGGTCGCTCTTCCAAAGTACTTTAACCATTGGGACTTCTTTACTCCTCTGTTTCTTCACCTTTCTTGCTGATGTTCTGCCTTAACTTGCTGACAAGTAAGGCATCGACTAATGTATTCAGCTATTTCCTTCGTCATACCAGACCACCAGTAACTTTCTTTCAAATCGCGATACATTTTTGTGCCCCCTGGGTGCATGGCATAAGACGATAAATGAGCCTCCTCTAAGATGGACTTACGGAGCTCCTCATCAGACGGTACACACACTCGGTCACGAAATAAAAAAAGACCATCATCTCTTTCCCTGAAATCCTCCCCTGGCCCCGCTTGCATGCGTTCCCGGACCTTCATAAGTTCTGCGTCAGTCACTTGACCCTTCTTGATCTCATCAAGTAAGGTCGGTCTCACTTCAAATCGTGCCAATAAGGCACCGTCGCTAGATACATCCAATTGGGCCCTCAGTGCCCTCAAACCAGTAAACAATGCCCCAGACGAACTCTTCCGACTCAGGGCATCTGCTACAACGTTTGCCTTGCCTGGATGGTACTCAATAACTAGATGGTAGTCCTTTATCAACTCCATCCACCGTCTCTGTCTCATGTTTAACTCTTTCTGAGTAAACACGTACTTCAAGCTCTTATGATCAGTATATATGTGACATGTCTCTCCGTAGAGATAATGTCTCCAAATCTTCAGTGCAAACACTACTGCTCCCAGCTCCAGGTCATGGGTAGGGTAATTTACCTCATGCTTCTTCAACTGTCGTGAAGCATAGGCAATTACTCTCCCCTCCTGCATCAACACACACCCAAACCCTTGGATGCTCGCATCGCTATAGACATCGTACCCCACACCCTGTTTGGGTAATGCAAGTACCGGTGCCTCGGTCAATCTCTTCTTTAGTTCCATGAACCCTTTCTCACATTTGTCATCCCATACAAACTTAGCTCCTTTACGAGTGAGCTTCGTCAATGGTGATGCCAAAACAGAGAACTTCTCCACGAACTTTCTGTAGTAGCCTGCCAATCCAAGGAAACTACGAATTTCCTTGACGTTCTTCGGCCTCTCCCATTCGGTAATGGCCTCTATCTTCTTGTTATCAACAACAATTCCCGATCCTGAAACCACGTGCCCGAGAAAGCCAATCTCCTTTAGCCAAAATTCACACTTGGAAAATTTGGCATAGAGTTGCTTCTCCCGTAGTGTCTCAAGAACGAGTATCAAGTGCTCTTCATGCTCTTCTTCACTCTTTGAGTAAGTCAAGATGTCATCTATGAACACAATCACGAATCGATCCAAGTATTTATGGAATACTCGGTTCACCAAGTCCATGAATGCCGCTGGGGCGTTTGTTAACCCAAACGACATAACAAGGAACTCAAAATGCCCATACCTTGTGCGGAAAGCACTCTTTGGTATGTCGTCTTCCTTAATCTTCAATTGGTGGTACCCCGACCTCAAGTCAATCTTCGAAAACACGGTTGCCCCTCGTAGTTGATCAAACAAGTCATCAATCCTAGGCAAAGGATACCTATTCTTGATTGTGACCTTGTCCAGTTGACGATAGTCAATGCACATTCGAAGTGTCCCATCTTTCTTTTTCACAAAAAGAGCCGGTGCTCCCCACGGGGAGTGGCTTGGTCTAATGAAACCGTTATCCAAAAGCTCTTGCAATTGGGGTTTCAACTCGTTAAGTTCAGCGGGTGCCATACGGTATGGCGGTATGGAGATTGGTTTGGTGCCGGGCTCGACCTCGATCACAAATTCAATCTCTCTATCGGGTGGAAGTCCCGGTAGGTCTTTAGGGAAGACATCCGGATACTTACAAACCACCCTCACATCATCGATGTTCGTTTCCTCTTTGGTTTTGTCGACCACGTATGCTAGATATGCGTGGCATCCCTTCCTCATCATACTTCTCGCTCTCACGGCGGATATGATACAGCTATTTGATCTCCCTCGATCGCCCTCGAAGCGTAGGGTCTTCCCATCATTGCCTTCGAGTTCAAGAACCTTCGTGTGGCAATCTACCCTAGCATGGTTCCTTTCTAGCCAATCCATCCCTAGGATTGCATCGAATTCAATCATGCTCAGCGGTACGAAGTCACACGTCAAGGTTTGACCATTAACCTCCACCCCACAAGATGGATAATAACAAGTTCTTTCCACGTCATCCCCTAGTGGTGTTGATACCACTAAGGTTTGCATCAATGGTGCGGATTGCACTCCCAACCTCTTGGCGAACGCTTCATTCACAAATGAACGTTGCGCCCCGGTATCGATAAGGATTCGCGCATCCTTCCCATTAATCTTTAATGTTCTTACATGTATACACTATGTGAGATACCTTTTCTAATGTTTTTACACATCATTAGGAGGTTATTATGTTCACACATGTGTTAGGGATCAAGAAAAGGTCTTAATGTCGCAAAACGGTGCGAAAAAATCGGGTTTCGGCATTCTGGGTGCCAGGCACGGCGTGCCTGGGGTAGGCACGGTCGTGCCTGGCTTGGGAAAAAGCCCTGGGCGCTACTGCCTCCCAGGCACGACGCCAGGCACGGCGTGCCTGAGGCCGTGCCTGGCCAAAATTTTTTTTTTTTTTTTTTTTTTTTTTTTTTTTTTTTTTTTTTTTTTTTTTTTTTTTTTTTTTTTTTTTTTTCTCTTCTCTTCGGGTGCCACTGCCTTCCAGGCACGATTCCAGGCACGGCGTGCCTTCGGGCGTGCCTGGCCAGCAGTGGCTGTTTCCAGCCCGATTCGGCCTAACTCACCCAGTTTGACCCCGGGGTGGCCCGTACTTAATCCCAACGACGTATATGATCAAAATAAGCCTAGAAATGACCCGAACAAGTGTATTACCTGCGACGGAGTCGGGATTAGCCCGAGCATCAGCCTCGGTCATTGCGTAGACTCTAGCTTGCGTCCTTCCTTGATTCACGGACGGCGCGTTACTCGCGCTTGCTCCCCCTTGCCCCCTGGTTACTTGGGAACCCCCGGCTTGGTTTCTACTCCCCGTAGCCCCGCTACTTGGTCCCGATGACCTTGCCCCACCCAATTGTGGGCAATTCATCTTCAAATGCCCGGCATCCCCACATTGGAAGCATCTAGGAGGGTCACGACACTTACCAAAGTGGCTCCTTTTGCAATTATTGCACCGAGCTACCCCCGAGGTCCGTGATCCTTGTCCATTCGGGCCTTGGTTCCCCCTAGGTGGGGGCGGTGGTGTTCGGAAAGATCCTCCTCCATGGTTTCCCTTTTTATTGGAACCTTGAGGGCCATGACTCTCCCCCTTTCTCTTTTTCGCCTCTTCGGCATCTCTCCTCTTCCTCTCCTCCCATTGTTTCTCCCCTTTCAACCCTTGCTCGACCACTTGGCTAAAGGTCATGTTAGGCAACTGTGTTGCCCTCTCACGTACCTCCAAGTCCAAGGCATCCCAGAAGTGATTTACCATCCGGTTCTCGTCACAAACATACTCCGGTATGAACTCCGCGAGCTCCCTGAATTTGTGTTCAAGTTGCCTCACCGTCATTTTGCCTCCTTGGGTCAGGAGGGTATACTCTCTCCTCTTAGCGTTCACCTCAAAATCAGAATAGTATTGGGCAAAGAACTCCTGTCGGAAATTCTCCCAAGTCACGGTATTGCCATACTTTCCCTTGACTCCGTCCCACCATGTGGATGCCATACCTTCAAGCAATCTCACCGCCACCCTTAGTTTAAATTCGGGGGTGAGTTGCATATCAAGGGCTGCCTCGTTCAACCTCTTGATCCATTCCGCGGCGACGGAGATGTCGCCTGCTCCGTTGAAGGGTTTGCACCCCAAATCTCGTGCCTCTTTGATGTACTTGGAGATCCTTATGATTGGACCTCCATCACCCCGGCCCCCATGTGGTTCAACATGGGCCCGAGAATCGCCATGGCTTCTTCCTCTTGAAGCCTCACCCGAAATTCGCCCTCCCCGGCGCCTTCGGCGTTCCCTCCTTTCCTCGCGCTCCCATTGATATTGTTGGAGCAGCGCCTCAATTTTTGCTAGGGAGTCATTCTCCCCCTCTTCATCACTTACATCATCGTCATCCCCTTCGTAAGGGGTCTCAACCGGCTCGATTTCCGGTTGGTAAGTCGAGTCCTCATAGGACCAGTAGGTTTCACTTTCTGTGTCAACATGACCGTCACTCACGGTCTGTGATCGGCCTCCACGGCCAGCTCCTCTAGATGCCCTAGAGGTCCTTCGACTGCCCTGTCCAGTCTCCACTGGTACACGGCCCGTCGGGTTTCTCCTAGTAATCCTGCCACCACGGTCCATTTCTGAAAGAAATTTGGAAAGAGTCATTAGACTCGTATCAAATGTCAATTGACGGATAGGTACTTAAGACACACTTGGCTTGAGTCACCGCCATACCAATTGCTAAGGGTACCATCTTAACAATTAGAGACCTTGCAACCCAAGTACCAAAAGCTCTCCAAGTACAAAACTTCTATGCTCATGGTTTTCAAAATCTTTTCAAAAAGAGAATTTTGAGACTTCATTATGAAGTTTATGGACTAAGGCTCTGATACCAACTTAATTGTCACGCCCCGGACCTCCCCGGACACGTCAACAACCCGCCGTACAATACGAATAGTCAACCGCAGTCCAACACATTCATATTATACAAGGCGTCTTGAATATCATTCACACACATAACATCCATAAACAAACATAATAAGTAATTCGTAACGCAGCGGAAAACATTGTTTAAAACAAAAGGGCCACACAGGGCTATTCATGAGCACGCAGGCTCTATAGTAAAATATCCATGAGCATGTTTAATATTGTTCAAAACAGAATGGAGAAAGCACGAACCACGTCTTCTCTCCAAAGGATCACCCGAGCAACGGGCACAGATAGCAAGCTCGAGCTTCAACCTGAAATGGTGGTGGGACGCCCCCGAAGGGGTCAGTACTCTATACGGCTATAAAGTACTGGTGTGGATGGCATCTAAGGGATATACAACAAGTATTTCAAACACAAGACCCTCAAATAGGGTGATAATACAATATAGTGGTAACCCTAAGTTACCCCGTTTTAAAAATATATACTTACTTTATATAAAAGTCAAGTAGTCGGCCCGTGGGCCCATGTTCATTTAGAAATCACCATTCCCATTCTCCGTGACTATGAGCCACGACAATTCATAGAGTTCATTACATTACCATTGCATAGCAAGGGCTCGGCCCAACTACATTTCTATGCAATCCTTTATGTCAAGTTCGTTATATTACATTTGCATCCTACCACATTTGCATAGCAAGGTCTCGGACCAACTACATTTCTATGCAAATCACAATTTACATCCTATCACATTTGCATAGCAAGGTCTCGGACCAACTACATTTCTATGCAAATCACAATTTACATGGCAAGGTCTCGGACCAACTACATTTCCATGCAAATCACAATTACATGGCAAGGGCACGGCCCAACTACGTTTCCATGTAATCTTAGAGTCCGGCTCTAATTCTTCATTATAGTCCAATTCCTAAGCAACTCTATGCCTAGAATTGACATCTCAATAATCTACCTTGGGTCATTCTCAATGACCGCCCATAACTTGCCCTTAGTTTCATACTAAGTCGTTTTATACACTTGAAGTACATTCAAGTTCATTCCATACAATCCAATACTTAGGATCAATTCTATCAACAATTTCAAATAATCACTAACTAGTATTTTCAATACTATTAAGATTATTGTCATTATACAAATATCTTCATTTGTAATTCTCTACATATTTATAAGTATGTAGCATCAACTTAAATATTCAACTTCAATACATAATATCCATTTATGTATCCACATATTTAATACATGAGTAAAATTCCTATTTCGCAAAATAGTTCATTTATAACTCATTTAATCTCTCCTATTATACATACATCCTCAAATCATTTCCAATTTCATTCTTTGGGAACTATATCAATATTTCATCAATATTTAATCATCATAATCCATGAAAAATTATGATTTAGGCATTTAGGTAATCTCATGCTTAACCTACAAGTTGTAAGCAATTAGATGTCGATCCTCACCTCAAATGAGCTTTAAAACCTTCCTTCTCGATCCAATGACCAAAGCCTCGGCCAAGGAAGATTGGGAACTAGTTCCTTGCTTGAAAATGGGTGCTAAACAGCCTCCTCAAGTTGCTATTTCAACCCCGAATCGTTGATACGAAAACAGCCCCTAGAACGGGTGTTTTCCGGCTAACTCGATTCCTAGTTTTCCAATATTTGCATCTAGGTTAGTATCTAACCTTTACATCAATTAAAGTCACATAATAATAACATTTTATACACTCCAATCAGTGTATAATAGTTCTTCAATCATTTATATGATTTAGGCAATAGGGAGGAAGGTTTTGGATTCAAACTTACTTTGAATACAAAAACGTTTCCTGCGAGGTTGTGTTTTGCTCAGTCAATTTGGAAGCCTTCCACTACTCCGATTGCTGCAAACCAGACCTTCACGGATTCCTCGTCTTGAGAGCTTTCTGTTGGTATCTCGTACGCCTTATTTGGATGTGTATAACTCGAGATATGAAGCAAACAAGTAACCCTTGCACCGGAGGAAAAACCTGCGGGCAGTTTGCTTTCTCCTTGCTCTTTTAGGTTGTGTGGCTCTCTTCTTCTCTCTTATCTTGGGGAGTTCGAATGGGAGCTGGGGAAGTGTTATCTTGGCCTTAACTTAGCCTCAAAAGTCAAAGGATAGGAGTGGGTTGGCATGTGGGATGATTGAGCAAGATACCTCAATCAAAAAAAAATGGGGAGAGGGTCCATTTGGTTCACAAACATGTCATGTTCAGCCTCCCCCTCCTTTTGTCCGCCCCAACCAAGGTTTTTAACTCATTCTCTTTATTTTGCAGGTGCCAAGAAGGTGTGGGGTGCTCCCCAAGTGATCCCAATCAATTTGGGGTCCAAAACATCTACCAATACTTCCAAAATTTGGAAGATGGGTCCTATTGTTTTATCTTTTGTCAAAGATGCCTTTTTGTACTCATCCTAATTTATTTAGAACAAGTCAACTTATTAAATCAAATTATTGATCTCCAATATGTGTAGGCTCATCCCAATTATTTACAAGATGGACATTGTAGAAGGAAAATCCTACTCCCATTATTTAGCTCAATAATGCCAAAGATGGGGTTATAGGCATTTGTATTCTTCTTTAATCATTCTATCACTTATTTGACATTTGTCATACATATTATTGGGCTACTAGCCGTGTGGGTCACTCCCGAGTGGGTCTAGAACGCCATTCTCGAATACTTGCTATTTTTAGCAGGTTGAGCCCAAAATATTATCTGGGCCGCCCGCCCTTCCTCGACTTGTCTTGACACGTTATGTATCACTATATAGATAATGTTGGGCTCTTTTATTTATTAATAAGTCCCGAATAAGTATTTTCAAAACCTGACACTAATGTACGAGTTTGAACAGTACAATATTCGATCATTAATTACGTAAAACATTAATCGTTTTACAAATGTTTGGGAATCAGAAATCCAATACATAAACTTCGAATATTTAAATCAAATCTTCAAGGACTTTTGGGTGCGGTGTCACACCACATGCTGTCACTATCAACAAATCATTTTTAGATACGTCTCTCCTCCAGCACAAAACAACAAAAACAACGATGACACCCTTGTTTCTCAACTCAAGTGCCAAGCCAGCTTCAAATCAAATGGTCAGCTACGCTCACAAGTCACCTATCTTTTTCCGTTGTGCCACTGACGAGATCTCCTCAAAAACAATAATTTTCCGTTATGCCACGTACACTTTGAGGAGACAAAGGTCAAGTATTCAAGTTCTGAAGATGAATCCTGTGCGCGCCTGTATATCACCTGAACACTCATTCCAGAGGCGCCATCAGAATTCATTAATGCTGATCAAGAGCAACTTATGAAAGGTAAAGATCACAACACAGGCTACATACTGAAGATTCTTCAACTCCCCGACATCAAAGAACAAATTGTCATGAAGACATCAAAGGGGAGATTGCAAGGATTTCTTCAAAAAGCCTTTTCAAGAAGCCGAGTGCAAAGACAAAGGAAGCTGAGCTGCATTGAGGAGCAACTGAACACAGAGACAAAGATATCCGCGCTGCAGTGCTGATCAAACAAGATTGAACACCAAGGGAGAGATTGTTAGGACTTTTTCTGGTGTCCAATCTAGTTAGATGCCTTTGTATTTGTGTAGTTGTTAGTTAAATGTGTAAATGGGCCACAAGCACCATATTAGCCCATTAGGCATCTTGTAAGCCATAAGTTAGCCTCCTTCTCCTATAAAAGGAAGCTAACTTATGAGAAAAACTTAGCAAAGGCATAGAGCATAGAGGCAGATTAGAATAGAATTGTTTCACGCTGATCTCTCTCTCTAGAGGGAGAGCAGCGGCCCCTTTTCATACGGTCTACCAAAGTTCTCAACATTTATATTATGAATGAGAATCTATCTGCTTCTTCTTTCATTCTTATGATTGTTTGATTGTTAGAAATAGGGACAAACATTATATCATGAGAAATAGAATGTAAATCAGAGCAACTCTGATGTCTCGAACATCTTTGATCCTTCAGATGACTCTTTCTTCTCAGACGATTTTTTGGGACATGCTACCGAAAAAGATTGTCATTCGATCCTCCTATTCCAAACCAGGAAGAAATTAGGAAATCCAAATCCAACAAAACTATTTGCTGTAAATCAAAGTTGGCCACCATTGAAAACTACCTGTCAAAAGATAATCTAAACACGCAACTCAAAATATACAAGAAATCTAGAAAAAAGGTGGCACAACATGAGGACAAGATCTCTGCCCAAAGATTTCCCTTGGATCTAGTTTTTGTCTTTACATTTTTTCTGTGAATTTTTAACATTTATCTTCTCGCTCGCATTGTACTATTTATTATTATGAATAAAATCGTGTTTTTCCTTAAAAAGAAATGGATTCCGTTGGTGTTATAATGGTGTTATAACACCAGCTATCATTCAACTATTAGAACTACTCCATATATGAGGAAGTTTATGGACAACCACCCTCAGTCCATTTGCCTTATGTGAATGTGGATAGTCCTTTGGAAGCTATATACCATAGCCTCACGGTTAGGGGAAAAGTGCATCCAGATGATGAAGTCCCATATCAAAGAGCTCAGGATATAATGATGATACAAGCAGACAAGTACCAGACTGACCGGGAATTCCAGAAAAGAAATTGGATGCATGCATGTGAAATTACAACCTTACAGGCAACAGTCCGTAGTACAAAGAAGCAACCAAAAGCTCAGTCCCAAGTTTGTTGACCCTTTTGAAGTAGCTAGCAAGGTAGGAAGGGTGGTTTACCGGCTGGATCTACTTGTGCATGCTAAGATACATCCAGTTTTCCATGTATCCAAGCTAAAGAAACATCAAGGTGATCGTCCTATGACCAGTACCATACCCAATGTGGATGATCAAGGACGACTCAAACTGGAATCACTGACAGTCCTAGAAAGGAATATAGTTAAAAATAATAATGTTGCAACTTTGTATTGGCTGATTCAGTGGACCAATAGGAGCAAAGATGACGCCACATGGGAAGCTTATGAAGAGTTGGCAAAGCTCTATCCCGACTTCGTAGCTAATGCATTGGCATATTGAGGGCAAGCTGGTTTTGAAGGTGATGGATTGTTACACATCAATGTATTAGGCAAATTTTATTCTTTGGGCAGTGGGAAGAGTTAGGCTGGTCAGGGGTAGGGAGGTTGCACGGAGTTTGTTAACCAGTCTGTTGGATAACTAACTCTTCCAACAATTGGGAAGCTATATATGAAGTTTGTAAACAATTTTGTGAGGACATGGCTTGTTTCACGTCTCATAACTCCCTGGTGTTTATGTGAGATGATTGTTGTTCGAAATCTTTTCTTGTTTTATGGATTCCTACATAATTCTTCGGCTTCTTCATAAAAATTCATTCTTAGAATATAGCACTTTTTCTAGCTGCCTTCTTAAGGTTGAGGGATTGCTTTCTTGCGGCCGACAACCAAGGATTGCCTTTTCTATTTTTTTTTTCTTTGGCCATTGATTAATCAACTAGCTGCCCATCCCTTTTCCTTTTTGTTGTTTTGTTTTGATTTGACTTGTGGACGACTGGACGTAACTCAACTGGTAGACAGGGAGTCTACAAGTGGTAAGTTTCAGGTTCGAATCCTGGCAACTGCAAGTACCTGAGCTACAGTCACACTCGACATCTGCCAATTTATGATTAAAATCTAATTTACATCATCCCAGTTAACTGTTTGGTTCGGACTCTGGACAGTGCTGTGAGGCCCTCACAAATAAGATGTCATCCTTTTTTGTTTCGATTTGGCTACAAGCATATGTTGCTGCCTTCTTTTTTTGTCTTGCTTGTTATTTTGTATTGTGTTTTTTTCTTTTGTTTCTTGACAACGCAGGTCGGGCTGCATTTTTACTATACTTTTGTTGTTATCTTTACCTTTTCTTCATCTGTTATTGGACTGAAAGAACTCTAATAATGAAATCACAAAACTTGAGAAATCATGTAAAACATACTAAAAACTTTGAAGATATAAAATACAAAAATCTATCCAAATTACCTCAATTTATCGCAAATCACTTCGACATTAATTTCAAATATTTACAAAAATGCAGAAAAGTGATTTAGTTTGTTGAACATAACAAGAAATGTTATACACAGTGAGTGAAAATATATGAAAAAATTGGATTTATCGGTAATCTCACGGGAAAACATGATTTTGCATTCCAAATATCTAACTACTAAAGTTAACATCAACTATGACTAATTCAAAATTAAAGCTCGCTAATTCAATAAAATTCCATTTTTATTGACGTGAATCCTTTTTTGATACATCGGAAAGGGAAAAAAAGAACTGAATAATTAAAATCTAATAGTCTTTAATCAATTAGCATCCTCTCAAAGAAAACGATTAATCCAAGCAGGTGCATTCGACAATCTAGTTAACCCTTTAGGAGCTTGATGTGCCGCGCTAGCCAATCTATCTGCACAAGCATTCCCTTCCCGAAAAATGTGTTGTATTTGGATAAATCTGTGACACCGCACCAGAGTGTCCTTGAAATTCAAATTTAAATTCAAAATTTATGTATTGAATTTCCATTTACCAAACAATTGTAAAACGATTGTTCTTTTACGTAAAGCATGCTTGATCATTTTACTGTTTGAGTACGTATATTTGTGATGGTCTTTCAAATACTTATTTGGGTTATCTTCTCAAATATAAGAGCCCAACATTTTGTAATTAATGATACATAACCTTTCGACACAAGCTAAGGAAGACTGGGCAGCCCAAACGTTATTTTGGGTCCAACTTGCTAAAAATAGTAAGTATTCAAGGATGGCGTCCTAGAACCACTCGAGGGTGACCCACACGGCTAGTAGCCCAGCAATATGAATAACAATGTCATAAATAAGTGATAGTATGAATAGAGAAGAAAACAAATGTCTATGGTCCTATCTTTGACATTTTTGAGCTAAATAATGGGAGTAAGGTTTTTCTTCTATAAGTTTCATCATATAAATTATTGGGATGATTCTACACATATTGGATATCAATAATATGATGTAGAGGGATGACTTGTTCTAAATAAATTAGAATGAGTACAAAAAGACATCTTATGACAAAAGATAAAACAATAGGACCTATCTTTCCATTTTTGGGGTATTGGTGGATGTTTTGGACCCCAAATCAACTGGGATCAATAGGGGTGCGACCCATACCTATTGACACATGCAAGACAAAGTAAAATAAGTGTGAGGAGTAGGGATGGACGGATAAAAACGAAGGGGAGCTGCACAAGACATGAAAGACATCCAAAGAGGGGCCACCTAGTCTATTTCCGCACAATAAGGGTGTGCTGATTGTCTTCCTCCATAATGGGAGTTGTACTCGTCCAACTAACTTGAATAAGGTGGCCTTGGATAGCCTTTGAAGTCCAGTTTCATTATTTAGTGTTTTCTGAGTGAGAGGGGAGAGTCTATCATGCGAAAATCGAGCTGGAGTGAACTGCTGTGTGTAAACTCGAGTAGTGAGAGTGTTGATGCTGTTTGGCTCATATCTCGAGTTATGCTAATCCAAATCAGGCGTGTGAGGTACCTGAGGATATCTCTCAAGATAAGGAATCCGGAAAGGTCTAGTTTGCATCAAACTAAGTAGTGGAAGGCTTCCAAATCGTCCGAGCAAAACACAAACGCGCAGGGACGGATTTACTTCTCTAAAGTGAGTTTTAATCTCAAAACCTTTCTTTTCATTTCTCTTACGATATGAAAGATTGGTGGAACTATTATACACTATTCCAAGTGTATAATATGTTCTTATAAGGTTATGTTATTGATGTAAAGGTTAGATACTAACCTAGAGCAAACCTTGGAAAAACTAGGAAACGAGTTCGCTGGAAAACACCCATTCTAGGGTCTGTTTTCGTACCAACGG